AATTCAGCAATTGAAGAAATCCCTATTTGTGATCTTTCCTTTTCCTTTCCCGCAAAGGACACATACTCTCCATTAAAATTCTGAATGGCCTACAGAAGAGAGATGTCCCTTATCATGTGCATGGAACAACCACTATCAACATACCGAAGTATGATGATATTCTTCCATACATGCTCTGACACAGAGTGCAGGATTACTTGGTTTTGGAACTCAGTTCATTTTGAAACTAGGTTGAACTTTGCCATCTACGCATGATACACGTTCCTAAGTCATACCCGGTTTATCAAACATATAAAATGAAGAGATGTTAGAATTTTTAGGTGATTTGGGAGTGGAAACTTTTGCTACACATCTGTAGTTAGGTTTAACAATTTTCTTGTTTAAACAAATGAATGTTTCAGCACTAGTTTTGGAGCTTGAGACCGATCGCTAAGATGACTTTGACCTTACTGATCTTGGTTTGACTAAACTATTTCTCAAATTAGATATCTTGTCAAACATGACCTTTTTGTTCTTAAGAGTCTGATTTTTGGTCTTGGCAGTATTCCAGTCAGCATCACGTGATATTGATGAGTTTCTCTTGAAAGATCTTCCTCATGATACATTCCTCTTACCTTGGAAAAAATATGGGATATATGCACGATTTGGACAATTTATAGCAATGTGACCAGGAATTCCACGGTTAAAACAGGTTTGTCTTTTAAGAAGAATACGCTCAAAACTTCGTGCCCATCCAACTGAATTTCTACAAGTACAAACACATTGTTTCACAACTTTATGTGGCCTAAGATTGTTAACAGTGTTATCACAAGCCTTTGATGCAACAGAATATAAAGAGTTAGTTTTTGAATAGTTTTCATTAAAACTAGCATTATCTTTGTTTTTCTCGCATCCATCATACACTGTTACTTTATCTGCACATGAAGTAGAAACAATAGTATTGTTCACATTAATACTCACAGTTGGGGCATATTGTTCATTCTTAATTGAGGCAGTTACAGGGGGCTGGCCATATTGTGCAGGTGTCTCTATCTCTTTGGTTTCAGGAGGTAGAGTATAGTTATCATTGAAGGGAGGTGGTACACTATGATACCCTAGACCCTCACCCTGTTTGTCTTTCCACTTTAATTATTTTTCTATCATTGACTCAACAATCTCACTTGACACATCGAATTTCTTAAAATTAAAGTCAGCATCCTTAAATTTAACCTTTAATGCATCAAGTTTGGCAGTTAAGTTTGCAATTTTCTCTTCGGAAAAACGATAGTGAACACATTTAGTGTTGTATTCTTCTTTAAGCCTGCTTAAATATTTAGTTTGTGCTTCTAGTTTTTCTTTAAGCGGTTTATTTACTTTCTTAATTTCATATATTTCATTTTTAAGGTGAAAAACCTCTCTAACTAAAAATTCATTTTGTTCACGATATTTATTTATTTTACCTTCACACAACTGAGAACACGAGGCTTTACTAACCTCTTTAGTATTGTTGTAAGAACTCATTATTAACAACAAAAAGAGGAATATGATTGTGTAGATTGATTTTGACCGAAAACCATGATAAATGCTCTTTGACCGAAAACCTTGAAAGTCAACTAGTTTGACCAAAAACCATGAAAGTCAAGTGTTTGAGTGAAAATAGTTGGCCGAGAACTACATGTCTTGGCTGAGAACTCTTCCTTATTACCGAGAACGTTTATTAGCCACCAAAAACGATGAGACCTAGCCAAAGTCATCGAGGTTTTGATCGAATTTCCTTATTCAATGAATCTCAAATTTGGTAAATTGCCAAAAATGATTTTGCAATGCAATATCCTCCAAAATAAGTGAAGAACACTAAGGAAATGATGAGCACGAAGAATAGCAAATTCTTTTTTCCCAACACAACCCAAAAACACCACAAGTAAATTATTGTTTTGAAATCAATTGATACCAAAACAGCCTTAATTTGATTTTAAGGCTCTAATACTACTTGTAAGTCCGTGTACTCGGATCTATCAAGGTACCAACGCAATAGTTTGATTAATGCAAAATGTTAATCAAACAATGATACGAAACAAGGAATAAAATATATCAAGAACACGTTTCAAATGAATGCACACAATTCTATTTAATAATTGTCAAGTACATTTAATCACTCTCTAGCCGTGAATAACTCCAGCTCTCCAAAAACACATTAGCCTTAAAAGACTATACACACACACACACACTATATATATATATATATATATATATACACACACACACACACACACACCCCTAAAGCCCAAACATAAAAGGCCCACCGAAAACACATTAAGCCCACCGAAAACCATACAATACTTTCAAAACAAAGCATAAACCACTATGTATAGCCCAACAGGTTATGATGTAGATCCCAAATGTTAATTAGCTTTTATTTGGCAATTGATAACTCGGGAAGTTGTAGGACCAGCAGTTAGGGATCATTCGTTTTATTCAGCTTTTCAAGGTGAGTTTCCTCATTGGGTTTAGCGGGTCTAAGAGACCTAGGTCGATCCTTGAGTGGTTATGTTGATATACTTCATGTATGTGTGTTACTTGTATATATATGTTTATTTGGGCGGGGCCCGTATTGCGAGTTTGAGCGGGACCCGTATCTCATTAGGTGGGGCTCGTTATGCGAGTGTGGGTGTGGTCCGTTATATGATATGTTTTGTATACGGTATCTTGGGGAACTCACTTAGCTTTGTGCTTATGGTTTTTAGTTTATGTTTTAGGTACTCCGGTTCCAAGGGGAAGAGTTCAGGTTGACTGCATCGCATACACCATATGGATTCTGTTTATGGGACATACTCTGATTTATATGATGATTGACATATTTATTTGATCGTGATGTATGAACAATGTTTTTGAAATACTATTTTTACTTAAATTAAAAATAAAATTTTTGGGTCATAATTTTTGGATGTATCATTATATTTTGGTAATTTTTGTGGTTTAACCACTATATTTCAGTTTCGTCAATGAAAACCAACTAAATTTGACACTTTTTTTCTGTGTCAACCACTATAACCTACTAATCATTTTTTATGGACATATTGGTGCTTGAATTTCGTACATGTGATGATAATCTCTCTTGTAACAATTGTTATTAGAATCCCAAGATTCAGACCTCACCGTTCTCAAATGCATGCGTCTCATTCAAAAACTTATCAAAACATATCAGGAGATGCTATAAATCATTGAAGACAATGGATGAAGGGATAAAATTATCTATATTATTGATCTCTTTTGTCAATTTATGTGATGATGTTATCAATATATATTTTTAAATGCTAATCATGTTATTGTATAATCACATTTCCAGTATTATGCTACAAATCAATGATGATTACTAATGTTATCAATATCTATTTGTTAATACTAATCATGTCATCATATAACCAAATTTTGTTCAAGCCAACAGCAAAATATGAACTTTTTTATTAGTGCGTATATAATCTTCAACTAGTAGGTGATTCGGGCTTCGCTCAAAACCGTTTTTTTAAACAAAAATCAGATCAAAAGTGTCAAGTTCAACAAAATCTAGGGGCCATTCATGTAAATTAAACCATTTCCATAAAAAAAATCTTTAAGATATATAAAAAAACAAAAATGGATCAAAAATGTCGAATTCAGCAAAACCTAAAAGACCATTTATTTAAAATAAATCAATTCTGTCACAGGGAACACTACAAAAATCTTTAATATGTATCAAAAAACAAAAATAGACAAAAAAAAAAAAAAAAAAAAAAAAAAAAAAAAAAGTTATATTTAACAAAACCCAAAGACCTTCTATGTAAAATAAAAGAAATGGAAATTGTTTAAAGCGAGTGAAAGAATTGAACCAATAAAGTCACAAACAAAAACTTAGGGAAATGACAAGAGATAAAACAAAAGAGGCAAAAGAGTAAAAAAAAAAAGCTATAAATTTACTCTTCATAACGGTATTATGCTTTAAATATGTATATAAATGTGGTCCACTTCTTGGACAAGTAGAGAACTCACCGTATTGGAATATAATATTCATTTTCCACAAATTTTATTTCTTTCTTAATACTTTGTAAACTACGTTTTTTGAATGGCTTACTTGGTGTTCTTCAACATACATATAATCGGTCATCATTGATGAAATTGATCCACCATGATAATTTTTTGGATAATTAGGGTTTAGATCAGAGCATGGGTTGAGAATTAAACAATAACATCAACATATATTTGTACCAACAACAAATCTTTTATATAAGTGTGGTTAAATGAGTTGCATTAACATTGAATTATCAGTTTATTTTGAAAGAGTTTCATATCAGACATGTGGAGCTTGGTTAACACCATAATTTTTTGTTTTGATACTTCATAACAGTAGCCTATTAAAATAAAATCTATGAAAAATGGAGGTTAATGACCCATAATAAAAATTTCATGTGAGCTGCATAAGCCATAACAAAAATCTGATTGCATCGATTCTTGTTAATTCTTATTACTGCGGAAAAAAAAAATTCTAGTTGATTATAATCCAAAACGATCTGATTTCGGATCATAATCCATTTTCATCCTTCTTATTTTTCAAAACCCATCAATTTCTTGCAATATATTGTTCTTCTTGTTGCAATATATACTTTGTTTCTTTCAAACTCTTTCTTTTCCTTTATCCAATCTAGGTCAACAATACCTTCTTTAATTCTCTTTGGTTCCCCATTAAAAGGTTATATTTGTCAACTAACTATTAAAAATTGGAAGAATTACAAAATGTCGTGGAATAATAAATACATAACAACCATAAGTGTAACGCTAGTTGTTGGTGGATGGCAATAATCATGTATAATAAATTAATAATATCTACGTGACAATCACATATAATGATATGAAGCCACATATCGGAGATAACGGTTTAAATATATATCATTGTTAAAGAAAGACCATACACATAAAACAAGCACGAAAATATATAAAATGAAATTTCAAACCCCATTTTTAAAGATTATACATACCACCCATATACTTTATAAATTATAAATTATAAATTATAAATTATAAATTATAAATTATAAATAAATAATAAATTTTCAGATGAACCATATTTTATTTTAAACACGTCATCCATTGACGTTACGTGTCTAAGTATAAACATAGATCCCCACCCACGTTATAAACACTAATCTCTGAAACTTTGGTCAAAAGCTGAAATAGCTATGGAGGATTTCTTCGAGAGGTTGCCGGAAGGATTCGTAGCTGAAGCATTGGCACTCACCAGCCCTCGAGATGCTTCCCGGTTGTCCTCCGTCAATTCCGTTTTCCGTTCCGCGGCACGGTGGGACAGCGTTTGGGAGAGTTTCACGCCGCCGGAGTACCTGCCGGAGACGGGGGACGGTGGTTCAGTCGCATCGAAGAAGGAGATTTATCTGCGTCTCTGCGATCATCCAGTCATCATAGACGAAGGAAACAAAGTAAACTTCTGAATAATTATCCTATTTCATTTCATTTGACTCTTCGTTAATTTCATATTCTTCTACAAATCCTCGTAAACACGAAAAATGATTAAAACAAATTAAGTTCTGAGATCTCGTATGAAATGTATCGATCTGATTATCTGAATCCAATTTCAACAGAGTTTTTGGTTGGATAAAAGTAGCGGGAAGAAATGTTACATGTTGGCTGCGAGACAGCTATCAATCGCTTCTTCCGATTCCCCAAATTGTTGGATATGGACGCCAACAACAGAATCAAGGTAATATTATGCTACTCGCTTATAAGATATCAACACCTCAAAAATCCTTTTCCCTCTTTTAACTCCTCGAATCTCGAATTACAGATTCAGAGAGGTAGCAGAACTGATCAGTGTGAGTTTACTTGAAATCATCGGTAAAATCGATACTTCAATCTTCTCCCCTGATACAACTTACGTTGCTCTTCTCGTGTTCAAAACAACACCGAAAGCTTATGGGTTTGAGTACCAACCGGTGGAGGTCTGTATTGGTTTTCACGGCGACCGGAGTCAAACCCGGATGGTGTATCTCGACCCTGAAGCAGGGCGGAGACGAGGACTCCGATCAAGGAGAGGGATTGGGATGTTTAGCAAAGGAGGATTTGCGAATTGGGATGTGCCTTCGCCTTCTAAAGAGAATGGTCCGAAACAAAGAGAAGATGGATGGTTTGAGATTGAGATCGGGGAGTACTTTAATGGCGGTGGTGATGCGGCGGAGATGGAGTTGAGTGTGGCGGAGGTCAACGGAGGGAATTGGAAGACTGGTCTTGTTATTCAAGGTATCGAGTTCAGGCCAAAGAAGTAAAGAACTGTAAATAAGAAACTAGTTGGAAAGCAATTTACTTTTTCGTAAAGTATTGTTTGTATCTTATTGATTTGATATTTCCCTAATTATAAAATATATAAGTAAGAATGAATTTTTTTAGAATTATATTTGAAGTTTTATTATTACTCTTTGTAAATTTTGTAAATAGTTCTAAAAACTCTAGATTTACATTAAAAAAATTCGAAATACTTCTAGAAATAAGAAACACCTGTCAAGATTGAGACTGATCACGGATGCCATGCAGGATAGGGAAAAAGTTAAATGTATTTTTCTTTGGAGAAATTAAAATAGAAGTTGTAGTTATCTCTCTCAGGATTAGGGCTGTAAACGAACCAAACGAACACGAATAAAGGCTTGTTCATGTTTGTCCGTTTAAGTTAGCCGAACAACAAACGAACATGAACGGATAAACGAACGAGATTTTCTTGTTCATGTTCATTCGTTTAACAAATTATTTTGTTCATGTTCGTTTATTTATGTTCGTGAACATGCTAAACGAATATAAACGAACAAACATAAACGAACAAAGATAAAAAAACACAATTGAACTTATATGAACATAAACGAACATATAATATAGCAATATAATAAAAAATAATTGAATATAGATGAATATAAATAAACTTAAACGAACGAACATAAATGAACATCATAAACGAACGTTCACGAACATAAATGAACGAACGAGACTATTGTTGATGTTCGTTCATTTAACTAAACGAACGATAATTTTTGTTCATGTTCGTTCATTTATTAAATAAACGAACATAAACGAACTTCCCGCCGAATAGTTTACGAACGGTTCGCCGAATGTTCAGTTCGTTTACAGCCCTACTCAGGATCAATAATTTGGACGGTACACCGTACACATCAATTTCTTTACAGGGTAAATTATACGAATAGTCCCTGTGTTTTGGGACAATGTGCGCATTTGGCCTCTAACATTTTTTTTTTAGCTTGGACGGTTCGGATGGTTCCTAAAATGTATTTTTGCTGCACGTTTGGGTCACTGAAATAATTGTATTACCCTTATTTTATTTTCCCTTTTACTTTTCCGATCTATTATTATATAAAATACTTATTAAAAAAAATCCTAAACTAAAGCTAGTGATCGCACGTCCTTAATTCCCCCTCACACATTTTCTCCCAAGTCCCGCCTATTGTCTTTTTCGTTAAAGGTTTATCCATGTGGTCTTCCTTCATCGACCACCGCCATAGGCGTCTAATGATGGTGGTTCCCTCATGTTCTTCCTTCAAGGCCAACCGGTTCACCAACAAAAATATAAGAGCATATTGATGATGTTCGCCGTTCGTCGGAGAAGGCGGAGGTGAAGCATCCTCCGAACGCCGCCCTTTTCCTTTGTCGGTGTCCCAAACAAACCATCTATCACCCATTACGTTTGTTTTCAAGTTTGAATTTAGTTTGAGGTTTATTTTGAGTTTCAGAGTCAATTTTTGAGTTTGATTTCAGTTTGAGATTGAGTTTTAGTTTAGTGGTTGAATTTAACCTCATCGATTTGGTTTTGGAAATCGATTTGCATCGGGCGGTTGATTGATTGCATCATTTGTTTCACCAGTGGTACTTACAGTCACCTTTCGACGAACCAGATCCATCCGATGTTGTTTCAGATATCATCTTCTTTGTAGATCTTCTTCTCATATGGGTTTCGTCATCATTAATGTTCTTCTCTCACATGGAACTAGGTTTTTGGGTTTCAAACATCCATTTCACATCATTGATCTTCTTCATCTTCACGAAGATTTATCTTTGTCTTTGAGACCATAGTCAATTTCTAGGATTCATTATTTATTGGGTTTCAAACATTTTAGTTTTTGTGGTTTCAGATGCAAAAACTATAACACCAGGTGATCATAGTGGTATTCTGATTTCAATTTCAATTTTGATTTCTCAATTTATGGGTTTCATCATAAGACAGTGTGATTGAAAATGTGATTGAATTTGGTTTTGTATTTAAGCTTGCCGGAGGAAGGGATAGTTCCTAGTGGTTGTCTGGTCAGAGGTTTGTCATGAGATTGGAAACCATAGGGGTAGTGAGAAGGACGAGAATGGGTGGGCTGTGATGGGATGGGACCACCTTATTATTAAACAATTAAGAAATAAAAAAATAAAGCAAAAGGGTAATATAGTCATTTTAGGTCTATCAACGATCCAACATGCAACAAAAATACATTCTATGAACTATCCGGGTTAAAAAAAAATCTTAGGGATTAAGCTCGTAGATTGCCCCAAAATCACAGGGATTATTTGTATAATTTACCCTTCTTTATAAGATCTATTCGAAAAGTCATGGTTTCCATTGAAAAATCGTAAAGCACTGACAATATTCAATAATTATAATATATTAAATAATTATGCTTCTTAATAAGTAGGCTTTTATTAAATTAGGTTAAAACAGATTTTAAAAACCTTTATATTTATTGTTAAAATTTGGTAAAATCAAATATTCATATTCCTTAATTAAATTTTATTTTATTATAATTCACACTTATTAGGTTGGAGGGTATATGGCGGGAAGAGGTGTGAGGAACTGGAAACACGACCGGAACACTATTATGCCACCGCGGTTTAGGGGTGCGGGAAGGGAGGCTACCCCACACCTCTTTCTTCACCTCATTGGCTGAATTTTAATTTTTCTTTTTCTTCTTCCAACGGTTACATTAAATAAATAAATAATTTCTTTTTTTATGCCTTTAAAGGCTATAAACTAGAAATTTTCAAAACAATTTAATACATGTACCACTCTATAAATACCAAACAAACCTAACATAATTTTCACATTTATTTTATATATTCTCTCAAAAGACTCACTTAAACACAATGTCTTCATCGTCATCTTCGTCCTCCGATTCGATGGTTTAAGTAGAGACATTATTTGTCGATTTTGTCATGGAAAAACAGTGGTATATTTCCGAAACTGACAAGGTCAAAGTTCACGTTCACGTTCAAAAATACATAGCCACAATTCGCCAGTTAGCATACGACATAGGAGCACACAAATGGGACGATTATTTGAGGATGTTCGAGTGTAACACGCGGGATAGTGCGTACAAGTTTGCGAAAGATATTACTTTGGTTTACGGACACTAATATTTGCGCAAACCAACCATCAACGATGTCCACCAATTATACATGGTGCATGAAAATAAGCATGGGTTCCCGGCAATGCTAGGTAGTATCAATTGCATGCACTGGTCTTGGGCATTGTGCCCAAATGAATGGCTTGGTCAATACATGCGAGACGATCATAGAGAGTTGGCGATTATTCTAGAAGCAATAACATCACATGATATTTGGATATGACATGAATTCTTTGGTCCATCTAGTGCAAACAACGACATCAATGTTATAGAACAGTCGCCAGTATTTAACGACATTTACCTTGGAAAGTCGCACGATGTATCGTTTGAAGCAAATGAGGTATCATATAAGTGTGGGTACTATCTTACTAACGACATATATCCTACCTTATTTGTTTTTGTGAAATCGTTCATATGTCCGAACAACAAAAAGAAAAAAGTTTAAGAAAACACTAGAGTTAGCTAGGAAGGACATGGAGAGAAAATTTGGTGTACTCAAAAGGCGTTGGTAAGTACTACAAGCTGGGGTACAATCATATGAAGTGAAAAGGTTGCAACACATAATGTACACGTGTATCATATTACATAATATGATTCTAGAAGATGAACGAATAACGATATGTTGGTACAACAAAAACAAAGTTTTACCAAACGTCGAAGGAGTAGTTCTTGGTATGCAAGAGTATATGGCAAATAGAAGAGAAATACATGACCATGACATTCATCACGCCCTTCGTGCGGATTTGGTGGAGCACATATACACAACTCGCATACAGCCCCAGACATAGTATTGACATGATAATTTGTTTAACAAATCAGATGAAGATTCAGATATGTTCATCGAGGACTCGGGTGAGGATTTGGATGATAAAGGTGAGGATGATGTCGAGGAGTCAGGAAAGGATTCAGAGTGACGTTCTTTTTCAAATTCGGATATTATGTAATTTTTAATTATGTTTTCTAGATCGTTTTTTTAATCTAGGTTGTGTTTTTTAATCTTCGTTGTTTTCTAGTTTTTTTTTTTTTGATTTTTTTAAGTAATGAAGTATTTTTAATTTATTTTTTTTAAACAAATCTTTTGTAATTAATACATCTTAGTTATCATCGTAGAACGAATGAGAAGGCAAATGGTCAACAACTTGCGCCGCTAAGCTTTTTTGTATGGTAAAACCAATTCTTTTGAAGACTACATCCATAGATCTAGGGGATATAAAATTGATATGCATGATCTGTTGTACTCTAATAAGAAGCCCCACCGCAAGGAAACCAAACGTATCAAATGCAAATGGTATGAACATGTGTTGATTTTCCATGCACGATTTCTCATGTGTTGGTGACCTTGCATGTAGCAGCTTTTAATGCAGCTTGTCCCGCCGTGAAACCTACGACCTTCAAGCCTACGAGAGAAGATACCCATGTAATGTCCACACATGCATGTTTCCCTCCAACCCATCCAAAAATCAGAACGTCTGTCAGTCTAAGGGTTGACCTTCCTTCTGTCAGGTTAGTCAGGAAATTCACAAGAGCCTTTTTCTTCGCAGAAACCCCAACATGCTTAAATATGTCGACCAAAACATCCCTAACCATATCGTCCCTATATTTGAACCCCGAGAGTTCTTTGCAATGAATTCCATGCTCTCCAAAAGAGTCCAAACATGCCTTGCGGCACATAGGACATATCTTATCGACTGGGAATATTGGAATCATGAGTCGATATTTGAGGATGGTACGATATGCCACAAGAGACATATGTTGGCCAAGCCCATCTATAGCGATAGCTAGAAGAAAATGTTAAGCATGTGGTGCACGTAAACACTGGGAAACAGATTTCTGCCGAGCCATCATGTTGAAATGCACTTCCATATTTGGACAATTTTACTGAAAAGGGCACTCGCCAGTGTATTCTGGGATTTAGGGGGGGTGTCCTTAGTAGTAAAATTGCTAAGGTCAATGTCCAGATGCTTGTTATGAAGAGAAGCTAAGGCATAAGCATAATCAATATTTGTACCATAAATGTCGCTATCCCATAAGATGTGGTTTTGCAATACCCAAGATTGCGCCCTTGAGGAAACAAAAACATATGAGGTAGACTCTACTGCAGAGTATAAACCCAAACCACCAAACAGGATAGGTAGGGAAGCAATTCGCCACTGTATGTCACCAAAGAAATGGTCACCACAAACCACAATATCCT